GACTGTGTTCTTGAAGTAAAAAAGTTACGAAAATGACCGAAGATAACCTGGATACTGTAAGTTTATACTTCCATTTTAGAAGTGCTTAGTTTCCCGCCAAAAAGGCGCGACGTCAAATAACTTTAGTATATTAAGTTGGCCATTCTGTCTACGTATTATAAATTTTGTTTATTTGATTTTCTAAATTTGTTATTAATTTTTTAATAAAGGACATCATCCAAAATAAAACTGTTCCCAAAATTATAGGTCAATTTAATTCAACATCAAAGCGGCCTAACCTCACTTTTTAGAATCTTATTTATTTATTAGCTAAAGATTACATTAAATGTACAATAATTACTATTGCTTTTAGAAGCAGTAATAGTTTGACAATACCCAGCAACATGATGTAAGTAGAAATGGATTTTTGCTATTAGGTAAATTGGTATCTAATTTCAATTTGTTTGAATTTTTATTTAAAAAATAGGTAGTTTGGAATGTTTAAGCTGTGTTTAACATTTAATTTCACTGAAAACTTAAAGCAAATTAAAACTTAAAGATATTTTAAATCGTAGAAAAAGAATCGTGCGTTTTCTTGGTTGCCTAACCTCACTTTTTGTTTTATTATTCATATTTAATTTTACAATAATTTAATGAAAAATATTAAACATTAACTGTAAAACAAACAAATTAGTGCTTATTATAAATAAATTAAACCAGTTTAGTACGTTAATTTCTTAGAAAAGGATTAATTTGTCAAAACAATACCCCTAGCGAGAAAAAATCGAACTAATTACTTGCCTCATAAATTTTTTTATCGGCCTAGGCCATAACAAGGTATTTCTTTATCGAATGTTGACAACAATAAAGTTTAAATTATAAAAAATATTAATGATGAACTTATTGTAAAATGGCTATTTATGGCACATCGACATTTCGTTGCAAATATCCCTGTTAACTTACCAATGCGCATCAGCACTTTTGTACCAGCGTGCGCCTTCTCTTCTCCTGCTTCTCTTGATACCCCGTTCGCTTGCCCGCTTTCAATCACACAATGAGCTTTTATTGCCCAACGTTATTCCACCACTTTCGACACTCGTCCACCACGCCACTTTTATTTACCTTCGTTTTACTGACTTGCATCCCTTCAAACTATTGACAAGGTCTTTTACAGTAACCCTTAAAATGAACTTGAACAATATGTACAACAATTTGTTCATATGTAGGTACATGGGTCATTTTTAAGAAACACCCGCTTTCAGGAAAATGAAGATCAAAATTTTTTTTGCTTAAATTGACTTCTGGTTGGATTTTTATAAATGTTTAGAGTTTTGTTTACTTACATTTAAGACAGGCAGTGCACTTTTTAATTCTTTTAACGTTTTTTTCAGAAAAATGTTTTTAGCTAGCTTTATATGTCTCCACTGTTTTACCAATTTGAAATCCAAAATTTAATTCAATAAAAAAAAGTTGTTATAAAAATAATTTAAAATAAAATGTACTTATTTTTTATTAAAAAGTTATGCCTTTTTTAAATTTTTATGTTAGTTAAGTAACTTTTTAAAAGACACCATTCCGATTCTTTGTTAAAAAAACAATACCATTAATATTTTCTTTTAGTCACTGTATTAGTGAGTTAATTTATAAATAGGTATTACCAAGTGATAGTAAAATTATTTTAAGGATTTTTTTTAACCAAAACTAAAAAAAGTAACGAAATAGACATTGGTATCACAACGGACTGGGGTTCATAAAGGACTTAATCAGATAACGTAAAAAAGAAACTATATAGGGTGGTACGATTTTAGAGTAATGCATAAACAAAATCCCTTGTAGTGGTGCTCACTTGCAGAATAACAACTTAGATTTCTAAATTATAGACACCGTTTTTTTTTTTACTATAAGCTGGTGTCTTTTAGTACTTGTATATTGCGTGGAATCTATATCATGAGTTGTAATCACAAATAATTTTAAATTGGTTTGTCATAAACTACTTTTAATAAAAGCGAAGGTAAATATCTACTTTGTTGTCGAAAAATTCTATTGCGTTACCCTAAATTCCATTGCGTTACCATAAGGTAACGTAATGGACTCGGTAACGCAGTGGACAAAGTTTTGTGTAACCATATTTAAAAAATAATAATAAAACATTACAGTCATTAATTACTCTCAATGAGCTTTAGTGCCCTAAAATAAACATAAACATGAAAAATAGTATTTTTTCTTACCTTATTTTAATTATTTTTTTGAGTAACTTAGCGGACAAACAATTATTACATTCGCGTTACCCGCACCTGTTTCAAGCGATATCTTCTTCCTGATTAAATAAATAAATTCAGCTGGGTAATGTGTACGTCCGAACATCATTTGTTAATCACGTGAGTGCCAAAAAAGTTGCCATATATATGTTTTTTTAAATATTCTATCGGTAACGCGACGGACGTAACGCAATGGAAAAAATGTCTGGGACATGAGTCAAATTTAAAAAAAAGTAGATTAAAATTAATTAATTTATATATAAATTGTTTACTTTATTAACTAAGGATGTTATGGATTGCTATAAAGCAACACGAAGTTCTGGTTATTCAATATTAAAAAAAATCATGTATGAAAGTTTTATAAAACGCTAATGGGACATGCGAAAATGTGTGTTTCACAAGTTTCAAAATTAAAAAAAAAATTATTCTGAAATAACTAAACAAACATTTTCTGAAAGAGTTTACTAAGGGCTTGTTAGGCTTTCACTTGGTTTTTAAATCAATAAGATCCGATAATTTTTAACAAAGTTATTGGAATTCAAACTTACGGACAGCGAAAGGCGGGTGTTTTTTGAAAACGACCCACATACCTACTAATTATTAACCAAAACTATATATTTTTTCCAGTGCCACCTTTAAAACGCAATGGGCGTTTCTGTATATGCTTTTTAGTTTAGGGCTGAAGTTATCAAAATAAAGTGACCTTTTTGTGAAATAATATGTGGAAATTATTTTTTTATCCTTATAACAAATACTACAAGTTTCTTGACACCAATCTTTTGATTTCTCCGACAGAAAACTAGTACCTATTCAATAGTATATGTCGATAAATCTTTAAAAATTTTAAATGGATGACCTATAAAAACATCCTTTTTACTTTTACTATATATAAAAAAATGCTTCTATATCGGATTTAAAAGGTTGTTGTCTCCATTTTAAGGTAGAAATTTATATATTATAATATATTATATTTATCCAAATATTTAATTAATTGGTCATAAAATTTAAATTTTTTTTATAATATGTGTCGTAAAAGAAGGATGGTTTAAAACTCGTTTAAACCCTTTTTTAGACACCAATTTTTATTAAACTCGCTCGCAAGCTTCGCTCGTGCCTAATTAAAATTCGTGACTTTATCATACTTGTTTCCATGACACTAAGTGATCTTTTATATTCACATTGACAAGTTGTGGTTTTATGGCATTTTAGTCACGGGCTAAAGTTAGCTTTAAGTTAGTTGATAGTTGTCAAATGTCATACAATCGTTAAAATAAAGTGCCCTTCTTGTAAAAATAATACTAAATATAAAAATTATTTTAATATCTCAATACAAAAATTCTAAAGTATTAAATTGTTTCTAAACGCCAATATTTGAAAAGTTTATATGAACATTGTACGGACGTTTTAATTTAACTAGATTTAACTTAATTTTAGGTTGAGTGGAGTGCCAATAAAACGTTTTTTCTACTCCCATTACGGAATATGACCGTTCTTATATTACTTAAGTAAATTAAGTTAAATCCTGTTTACTGAATATAATATATTTCTTAAAGTGTTACAGAATGAGTTGATTCTATTACCGGATGACGGAATATACACTGGTGCCGCCATCTCTTTATTTATTATCTAACAACTTTCAGACCGATCCAACCTCACTTTCTCCTAATTAAATTATTTCTCCATGGTATATTTTACAAACATAGAAAAAGTATAGTCTGAAACACATTTGGAATTGCATATTCCGTTCTCCTGAAACCCTCAAACTCGAACAAAATATACTATTCTTTACTTTCAGTGTGAAAAACTGCTTTTAAATTTGATTAAACGGTCCATTTTTAAGGAATAAATTTTAATTTACACATACAAATTTGAAATTTGACATAAAGTTGTTTACTCTATTGTTTTTAGATGTATTTAATTTAAATCATCACCAAGGATAATAATAAGTATTTGTCGTAGAAAAAGTATAGCATGCGTGTTTTTTTGTGTATAAAATGACGTTTATCCAACTTGATACCTAATATACTATATTAGAGCTACTTAAAAATTTTGACGTATGGTTTTAAATGTGTTTTGGCATTTTAAAAAATGTTTTTAACATGTTTGGCAAAACATTAATTGAAAATTGTTAAACATTTCATTTAAGAATGTTTATAAAAAAATGTCAAGTTTACTATAGTAAGACTATGTCAAAAACTATAGTGAACTATGTAGGAGGGGACTTTAAGCCCGCGGTCCGTTCCTACCCCTAACCTGCTCAAGCCATTCAGTTGGCTTCTGGGACTTAGGAAATAAGCGTGGAACTAAAAGAGCACTTTTGTATATAAACTTTGTATATAAAACTATAATGAACAATATTCTGCACATTAAATATATCAATGGTTACTTTACTTTTATTTCTCCGTGTATATATACACATTTATATAAAATATCCTAAAAAACTTAAGACATACTTATTAAGTATTACTTAATAAATTTGTTAAGGTAATTCAAGAATCTAAAATCCAAAATAATATCCAACTCGCATCAAAATCACGAATTAATAAAAACCTGGTTTTTATACTGACGTATAAACAATACTTAAAATTAACCTATTTAAATAAAAACCACAAGCGATTGTGACTAAGTATTTCAATCATAAGTTTCTTATTAACTACCACACCGCACATCACCTGGTAACTTTGATAAAAATAGATGAAAAAAGTACCGAACAATTTGTGAATTACCTGTTCGTGTTTACTGATTTTGATAATGTTGTTGCAGGAAAGTGACTGTGAGAGTTCGATTGGTTCGCCAGAGCCGGCTTTAGCCATGGGGGTGGATGGTAGTACGGATCTGTCGATGGGCCCCAAACAAATGCACTATAGGCTTGATGATGCAAATGGGAATGATACCAAATTGTCACCTACTTCCCATCTAAATGGAACCAGTAAGTTCAAAAATATTATTAATATCTATATGATTTATCTTTACAGGATAAATAAACTTGTTGTTGTGAGAATATTAAATTAATGTAATAATAATATTCAAAACTTAGTAAGGGTATTGGAGTTTTTTTAAACTTGACAAAAATGTTATCAAATAGGTCAAAGTTTGACAAATATTTTATGCTGTTGTTTGTTCATGACAAACAAAACTAGCTGAATTCCATTGATGTTACAGTTTTTCTATTTTATTACTTTAAAATCGTTAACCCGTTAACTAGATTTATAAAATCTAGTTTCCATTATTTAATAAAGTTTTAACTCTATTCACAAAATCCTCTTCTTTTTTAGTGGCCGGATTAGTGACATTGCAGAACCTGCAAAACTTGGCATCGCTGCAACAAAGTTTGCCTTCTTTGACCGCAGGACTGACCAACATGGCAGGACTAACAGGAAATCCTGCAATTAATGCTCCCTTAAATTTAAGTGTCAGCGCATCAGGTAATTTATACATTTTAATTAATTACCCTTATTTTATTAAATATACGCTAAGGAAGCATTGCTAGTAGCGCCACCACGTGGCCGTTATCATCGTAACAAAACAACAACTTTTAATAATCAGCTGTCAAACTCGTATGATACAAACAATTGTTTTTAAGAATAAGGCTGTGAAAAATATCGAGAAAAAAAACGTGGAACGGTTTTATTGTGTTGTTGAGTGTTTTTCAAGAGGAAATCCTGGGTCAACTTTTTACTGTTTTCCCAATAAACAGTGGAAATACAAATAAAGAAATAAATTGAATACAGTCCCTGTAAATATAAATTGTACATATTACATACCTACAATAAATAAACATTTTAATTCGGTAAAAATTATAAAACAAATAAGCTGTCTAAATTTAAATATTTATAACCATACGAGGTGTGTTGATAAAATAACGGGAATTTTCGTTTTTTGAAAAAAATATTTATTTATTCGTCTACATTAATATTGTCGCCTTTAAAATAGTCCCCATTAGATATTATGCACTTGTGCCAGCGCTTCTTCCAATCCTTGAAATACTTCTCAAACTCAATCTTTGGGATAGCCTTTATTTCTTTCAGCAATGCGCTTTTAATGTCATCTATGCTCGCAAAACGACGGCCTTTTAAGGTTCACTTAATTTTTGGGATTATGAAAAAGTCACACGGAGTCATGTCTGGCGAATATGGAGGCTGGGGCATCATTACAGTATTGTTTTGGCCAAAAAATCACGAGCAAGCAATGAAGTGATGCCAAAGCCAAGCATTTCATAACTAAAACATTTAAAAAAAATTCATGGCATGAGCCAATTTATATGCCAACATCATCAGCGACTTCTCTGATTGGGATTTGGCAATCGTTCATTACCATTTCTTCCACTTCCACGTTTTTATCGGATGTTGATGTGCTTGGGCGTTCGGGGCATTCGTCATCTTCAACGCCTTCACGGCCATCTATACCACTCGTAAACTCTTGTTTTACTCATAGCATACTCACCATATGCCTTTTCGCACACTTTAACTTCATGTTTTACGCAAAATTTGATACAAATTATTTGATCGATTTCTTTTAACGAACAAAAATCGCCGAGCCTATAAAAACTAGTCTAACCTTAGCGGCTGCCACATACAAAGTTAACAATGAAAAAAAGTTTTTATCATCCTTTAGGGGCATGCAAATTTTATGACTCTCGGAACCCGGGAAATTTAAAAATTCCCGTTATTATAACACACCTCGTATATGCATTTTAAAAAGCGTCGATTGAGAAAGCCTTCAAAAAAAAGTAATATCCTAAAAAGGTTTTTATTATCAAATAAAAAAATAAAAACATTTAAAACAAAAAAGGCCCAACAATACTTCTAAACTTTGAAAAAATAAATATAACTAATTATGTAGGACCAGACGTATTTTAATTTATTATTTAGTCATTTACCTACAATAACTACATCTTTTGGCTATACACTTTATCTTAGACTCGTTTAAACAGCAAAAAACGTCTATCTGTGCTACAAGTTGCTGTTAACGCCCTCGCCTGATTTTAGTTTGTCTTGAAAAAAGTTTTCAAACTTTTGAAAGACCTGCATGTGGTTCGTCATATTTTATTATATCGTATATTATAAACTGTTTTTTAATTAAATAAAAAATGTTGCTCATTTAATTTAAAAACCTAAATTTAATGTAATTTTTTTCTATCTTAATAAAACATTTTTAACAAATTTTATACTTATATTCTGAATATCACGCTCTTAAGATTAAAAAAGTCTTTCAATGCATCACAGCAATTTTTTTTTATATTTAAACTTTAACGATTCTTCGGGATACTTCAGTCATTGTTGAATAATAAAATTATACGAAACAATTTGTAAACACACTTCCAGTTAACAAAAAATAGCGAGGAGCTAATACATAAGACATAATTTGTAATTATGCGGCTAGGTTTGATTGTGACGTGATTTTAGTTATATAGTTTTTCTAAGCTTCAATTTTTAATGATAAATTTTATACATAATATGAACCCTAAAATCACACTAATTATGCCAATATTGTAAGTAACTGACTCTTTGAATTAATTCGTGCTAAAATCGCTATTTAGACCATAGTGCAGCGCATTGAAAATATTTTAGAAAAGTTGATCACATTGCGGTATTATAGCTGCAATCAAAATTTCAAATGCATGTCTTTTTATTTCTCTATAAACATCTAATGAATCAGTTAGGTGAATCACCCTGTATACCTACACCATAGTTAATTAAATTCTTTCTTAAAAATTATTTACAATTTTGTTCATTTTTTTCTTGTAAGTAGGTGTTGTATAATTAAAGATTCTTGGCAGTACGTAGTTAGTTAAAAAATTTAAATTTAAAATGAATTCCGAAAATAGCAATTATTTTAAAAATTAAATACTATATCAGGGATTCCCAAGCATTGAACCCAGCGTCATTCGCCTTACATTATGGTAAGATAAAAAATTCCAGGTTTTTCTGTTGCATAAACAAACTTTATAAACAAATTATTTATTCAAATTAACTATTGTTAGTGAGTAGGATGAAACATGTTTCCAAGAACTGTTTTGTTATTAATTTTTCTAATAAAACACCGCGTTAATGTGATAATTACTAGATGTTATGTTATAAATATTTATTGCCATATCTTTTTTACTGTATTTGATGTGGATGTGTAATTGCAGCAATTAATTCTATAAATAAATAAATAAGCTTATCGTGTTAAATTATAAAGCAATAATTTTTAGTGGTTACTTAATTATAATTTAAAATATATTTAGCCCCACCTGGGGATTACTAAGCTAATTAATTAATAAAGACAAAAGACATGAGGCAGTTAAATATGAATTTCTTTATACCATGGAAATTCCTGCCAACCTTTGCAAATTCCAAATAATCGATCAAACATTAATTAGGTATGGTTAAATTTGCTACTTTACAGTAGACATAATTCAGGCATAATATTTGCATGTAATTTAAGTTAACCACAATTACAATTTTATAACCATAAATTATTTAATTCCAGCCGCCACGCCACGTAGCAGCCAATCGAGCAGCCTCACCGAAACGTCGCCTGTCATGATGACAGCGAACGTGAACCCCCAACAGCAACCCTCCAGCACGCCAATGCCCCAACAAAACCCCCTAATAAACCCGCAACAACCTGCGCCTATGCCCCAATTCATTTTGGCATCTGGTCAACTCGTGCAAGGCATCCAAGGGGCGCAACTACTTATACCCACGTCACAAGGTAAATAGCAGCGAGATGTAACTTAATTACGGCAAAGGTTAATTTTTGATTTTTTCAGGTTTGGCAAGTCAGACAATCTTAACGATACCAGTGAATCATGTAAATAGCACCGATCAAATCGTGAATTTGGCCCTTAATAATGGACAGGTGATGCAGACGTCCCTTGCCAATTTGCAAGCTATGGCCCAGACTAATTTAATAAACAATGCCACCAACACCGGTAAGAAATAATACAGTACCCATAATGCGCCCACCATTAATATTTGAGTCAATTTCAATTAGTAAGTAAGGATGTTCCTCTAGGAATTACTACATTAATTTGGAATTCAATTTTCAAATCAGGTTCCAGACGGGGAATTTTGAAATTTAAAATTTTAAAAGGGTTCTTAATGCCTGTTTACTGAAAAAAGTGGGTAACTAATTTTTATGGAATATGAGGTTTATGGATTTGTTCAACTACTTATATGAATATCAGATCAAAATTATAATGTAACAATATGTTATAATAAGAAAGTGGGTTTTCACCTAATTTTGGAATATGAGTTTTATGGATTCGTTTAACTGTATGCCTTTTCTATTCTCTCATAAAATAAATTAGTCAAAAATGACTGATTGTTATAGCAAAAAAGCAACCACTAATATTTATAGTCAGAAATCTGCATATTTAGTAGTCAATTCCTATGTAAAATTGTTCGCTGAATCCGAAAATGCCATCAACATTTATAAAAGTAAAAAACTATATAGTAAATTTTTAATATAATATGGAATTGACTATATCTCAAAAACTGCTCTACTTTAATAACTTTTTCAGATTCAGCGAAGAATTTTACATAGGAATTGACTATATTATGTCCGGGATACAAATTGCTGTGGAGGACAGTCAGTAGTGGCTGCTTTTTTTCTATGACAATTAGTCATTTTTGACTAATTCTTTTTGTGGGAGTTTATGATCATATCAATAAATAAATATTTTAGAAAATATTTAATATATAATAAGTAGATATGGGAATTTAGTTTTATTACCTATTTGTCTTCCCTAATCGTAACTTTAGGTGCAATGGACTAAAATCCGTTTTGAAAAAAAATTGATTTTATTTGAACCTGATTTTATTTTACCTAATTTTAATTTTTAAGAGAATTAATTGATTAATGAAAGAATTAATTTTTAAATTTTACCACATAAAATAGTGTGATTTTACCTATTTCATCTAAATGAAATTTTTAAATTGTACCATCAAAAACATGCTTTTTTAAATTGGTGTATTTGGATGACATAATTCTTGTGCACTATGTAGTTATTTTTGGTATACCAACCAACCCAAATTACAAACATAGTGGTTGATTCTGAGAATCGCGAACATTGACTCGAATGACGCAAGTGACGTGAATGCCTAAACCAAACCAATAGATGACTATCTTAAAGAGTATATAGTTTGGAACCAAATGAAGCGCCCTCTCTGAACTTGGTTAAAAATTAAATTACGTGTTTACAAGCAACTGTTGCCAACATAGCTTTTAATTGGTGGAAAATCGACGCATTTGATTGGTTACATTAATGGCGCTATATATAATCTAACTTTGTTTTCTACCATGTATTTAAGGTACTTCTGTGGTTATGCTGTTTAGTAATTCTCAAGTAACTTTTATAAACTAAAGAAATTCGCAGATTTATGGAAAAGCAATGAGGAAAACAAATGTATGTAAATGTAAAACAAGAGTATTTAGTATTCATTTGTAAAATCTCTGATTTTTTTAATTTGTAAAACTCGTTAAATCATTATCATACTTATTCCCAAAAGTACCATTAATATATGGTAAGAAATATGATAGTCTACCAAAAGTACCTAACTGCCATTATTTTGAAATTGATGATTACTGTTAAATCCATAAATTTTATTAAACAATTATTGTTATACATGCCTACCATCTGAAAGATTATGATTCAGTCAAAATGTCGTTTATAAATTATTATTTTAATACAACATTACAACAATACACAATAAAAACACAGAAATACACAATATCTTACAAAAATGCGATATCTACGGATATAATTGAACGTCAAAAAGGTCAAAGACGTCGAAACGTCAAAAAATTATAAAATCCGCGCCCTCTCTTGGCTTGGCTAAATATTATAATACTGTCCCGACATCCGACATAAGATATTTATCTATTGGTTTGGTCTAGGCGTGAATGACGTGAGTGGCTTAAAAATTATAAAATTTAAAATGGTATTATGATATTATTACAAGATATATCCTTAAGATATTTTCAAATCATAAAAATCTTATTTAATATAATTTTATACAATAAATTAAATAATATTCCCCCTTAAAAGTTGTTTTCCAGAACATATTTGCGAAAAGAACGTACCTAATTCAAGAATTATTTCACCTAAAACAAAGTTTACCTATTTAGGTACCTATTTTTATATATTTTGCAACCTAAAATCCCATCTCTATTAATAAGATATATTTAATTTTAAACTCTAGAACCAAATTCTTCTTATTAAATTATAATATTCATTTGATTAACAAACATGTTCTTCTCTTATTTTAGTTCCTACCACAAACGGCAGCCTAAACCCGAACCTATTAAACCCAGCAACCCTTTCACACCTCCTTTCCAACGGTTCCAATCAAAGTCTGCTTCAGACTCTCCCGCAGATGTTAAATTCAAGTTCACATCAGCCCTCAAATCCTCCAATTTTGAACCCACTACAGCCACCGTTGCTAAATCAAGCACCTACGTTGCTGACAACCACACAGCACAACTCCAGAAGCCCTTTGAATCATATACAGCAAATTAGCAATAACAGTCACTACAATGAAGCCAAGATGCATCAGCCAAATATTGCCAGGTATTACAATTTCTTTATCCAATGTACTAATTGAGATAATTTCAAAATATTTCAATAATCTAATCTCATCCTCATCTTGTAAATTAGTTTAAGGATGCTAAAGCATATTAATTTACTTCATGCTTATATTTTAATAGAACCGGTGCAATCAACTGGTCACGGCTGTACACCAGTTAGATCAAGCCAATTATTGTTTCCGTTTTAAAAACTTATTGACGCCAAGAGTTTTCTGCAAATAAAACATTTTTTGTTACACGTGGATTTATTTTATTGAAAGAATGTTATGTCAAGGGTTATGTACAGAAATGTGATATTTTAATCAATCAATCCAGTATTAACTAATAATTTAATAAAATCATAATTGTTGATTGATTTTTCATAATCAAACTTTTATAAACGTTAGCTCAATCAATAACGAATTACTCAACCTATGTAATTATCTTTTTTTCAGAAACAGTTCTCCTCCAGCCACAATTGCAAGTATAAATAGGATGTCCAGCAGTAATGGAGAAATTAGCATAAGCACATCAGTAAGTGGTGGGAATTCTAGTCAAAACCCCAATCAGCCAATAAAAAGGTCGCCATCATCTCTATCTCCGAATTGTACTGACAGTTCAACAGCCGATCTCCTGATAGATTCGCCAAGTGAGTGTTTTAATTATTATTGAGTTATTATTGGTTGTGCTTTTGAAGCCATTTATTTTAGATAACATTGTCAAGAATAAATAAAGATAATGGGCCGAACAGCCTTGATAATTCTTTTATGGTAATAACCACTTGAGCTCGTATCTATCGGTTCAATTAAAGCGATCGCAGGGCTCGATATCATTAAATTTAGAAATATGAGAAATTACTATTTAATTACTATTAATGCCTTTTATGTAATTTAATTAATAGACAATTAGATAAATTACGGCAAATTTTTACGATCATCCAATAGGAAAGATAATTACCCAATTTCATTAGGGAATTAACTAAGTTATATAAATAGATGGAATATGTTAGCTTTAAGAATTCATTTTATGTTAATTAAACGTCATAGCTTCTTTTATTAATAACTTATTTTTACTAGAAGGTTAACTGACGATCGTTAAGTTTACTTTAAATTATTAAAATTCCTTTTCATTATTTTTAATTAAACCCATACAATATCATTAACAATGATAACGCATATATACAAAATTAAATATTCATGTTTTAAATCATATTGTTTATAAACCATGTGACACATTTTAGTTTTTTATAAAACACTGTGCAACATTTTCGGAAAAAAATTGAGATGATGGGGTTCTGAAAGTATTTTCGGTTTCTACAATCAAAATCATGAATTATAGCGTTTACAGAATGTTTAGATTGATTCTGGTTTTGTTTTAATATCAATTCAAAGTTTTAGTAATTCTGGATCCCGAAATATCGTAAAATAATAAATAATTAGTATTATTGGTTTTGTATTATAAAGTAATAACAATCAAATAAAGAAAAAAATAATTAAATAAAAAAATAATGAGAACAATAAAATGCGATTTTTTTTTTAAATTGAACCTTTTTCTGGATTTAATATGTTGTAGTGCAATTTCTTACTTCTTTCGCTTCTACCATAATAATAATTATGGTAATTATTAATATTATTATTATTATATTAATTATTAAAAACATTTCTTCTGATTCGGTGGACAGCTTATTTTCGAACAGGTCAAGATGTGCATGGAGCAAATGTACTTTTAGTGACATGTTTACCCCCATTTTTAATTTTTTATTATTTCTTTTTAATTTATTGTTATGACAACAATTTCCTACCAGTTAATTTTCGGGTTCCAAAATTAATAAAACTTAAAATCGATATTAAAAAAAAACCTGAATCAATCTAAACATTCTGTAAACGCAAAAAGGCATTCTTTGGCTAGGAGAAACGAAAACCACTTTCAGAACCCAATAATTTTTTTTCGTTTTGGTTTAATTGAATAATAACGGTTTTGCGGGTTACAAAATTAATAAAACTTAAAATCGATATTAAAAAAAACCTGAATCAATCTAAACATTCTGTAAACGCAAAAAGGCATTCTTTGGATAGGAGAAACGAAAACCACTTTTAGAACCCCATCATTTTTTTTGCTGTTGCACAGTGTAATTTAATGATTACATCATTTTTTTTAAATTTCTTATATGCCATCAATTACATGTAAAATGCTGTCTTTTGATACATCAAGAGTCCAAGCGCCCAATTTACAGTAAAAATAAAATAGCAATATCAGAATTTTATTTTATTTCAGATCAACCTACAATAAACCAAACTAGCAGTAACGTGGTGGATGGCATAAACCTAGACGAGATCAAAGATTTCGCAAAAGCCTTTAAGTTACGAAGACTTTCGTTAGGCTTAACGCAAACTCAAGTGGGCCAAGCCTTGAGCGTCACCGAAGGACCTGCCTACAGCCAAAGCGCCATCTGCAGGTAACGATCTTAATTATAAGCCATTTAGTTGTTAGTTGATAAAGCTTGCATAAATTATTATAACCAGGACATTTTATTCAATCCTTGTTTGTCCTATAACACTGTGCAAATATTATATATCAGTGTTAAATTATTACTATTATAATAATAGTATTATTTTATAACAATACCTATATTGTTTAAGGATTGAGAAATTTGGACATTTTCATGAAGATAAAATATTGCGAGCCGAAGGCAAATGGAACAATTCTTCCGAATGGAAATTGCCATTTCTCAATACTTAAAAAAAATACTTTTTCCAATTTTATTAAAGAATTTAGTACAATTTTGTGTAATAACCATAATGTCAACCGTATAATCGTCATATTAATGATAAATACTACTGAGGAGAAGATTAAAATCTCGTCGTCTCATTGGACAGTAACCGTGGTGAAAGAGTTTAATTTTCTCCACAGTTTAATACTGAGCCACTTATAAATAATAATTTAAAACGTATACGCTAAAGAAGCATCGCTAGTAGCGCCACCACGTGGCCGTTATCATCGTAACAGGAATTCAGCTTTTAATAAGCAGCTGTCAAACGCGTAAACGAGTATTTTTGAGAATAAAGCCGGAAAATGTTAAAAATATCGGTTTAAGTTTTTACCAGTTTTCCAATAAACAGTGAAAACCCGAATGAAGAAATAAATTGCATGGTCCCTGTAAATATTAATATTAGATACAATAAATACACATTTTACTAATAATTTACCTAAAAATTAAAAACATTTCAATTCAGTAAAAATCATAAAAAACAAATAATTCGTCTAAATTTAAACAGCATTTACATAAACATTATTAAAAGCGTTGATTAAGAAAGTCTCCACTCAACAGTAAAATACCAAGAACCGGTATTATATTATGCATTATATATAATATTGTTGCCATAAATTCGTGGGTATATTCAAAGATAATATTATCTTTGGGTATATTTTGTCGTTTAAAATGCAGTTGTCAGAGTTTTTTTAGAGAACTCAAATATTAAAATATTCGATTTTAAGGTTAGTTTGTACAAAAATTATGTTTGTTAGATTTCTTAAAAATGTCCAAACTTAAATTACAATTATATTAGGTACAGTTATTTCTGCACCAACAATTATTAGTAGGTACCGTACTGGATCCTTTGGCAAAAACATGAAAATGTAACGATTTAGTTCTTGATCACAATAATTCACCATAATCACTTAGAAATATATAAGAATATAAGCATTGACTTTCTTAATCAATGATATAAGGAATAATAAATCGCAATCGATTACCTACTAAGCCAAAGTTTTTTAGTTTTTACTTGCAATTGAACAAAATTTGTCGAGTTGAACATTCTTAAATTCACGCAATGCTTTTCCAGATGGCGCCCGCGTTGCGAAAACCCGATGCTTCTTTAGCGTATAGGAGATGTACAAATTATTTAATTTTAATTTTTACTGTTTTTTTAAACTGATGATTCTGGTTTATAATAAAAAAATCGTTAAAAGCGCTGAAATAAAGAAGCCTTCTTAGTTGCATTGAATTGTCTGGTTTATTTCTTTAAATAATAATAATAATAATAATAATAATACTTATATTAATAATAATAATAATAAAAATAGTACTCTCACAAAAAACGTCTAATGGTGTCAAATTCCAGATTTTTTGAGAACATGTCAACATGTCCGACGTTAGCGATGATATTAAGACTTTAATTATTTAGTTACAAACACCATTACCATTTTTTTAATGTGATGTGATAAAATTTCATAAAGAAAATGCAAAATTAAAGTTAGACAAAGCTGTAAATGTTTTAAATTGATAAATTTGAATTTTTATCATCCCTTAAACGGCAGAAATATTTACAGCCTTTAAAGCATTTCTTCACTGGTGGATGAGCATTAAACCTTAAAATGATCAACGGTTTAATGGATTGTCTACTAAGACTACGGTGGATCGTACACAAAAACGCGAATATTTTATAATTTAGAAATGCTTTAAAAACGAAAAAATGGAACATTTCTGAATTGAAAAACCAATTATACGTATAATTGGTTGCACATTCTTAAATTAATATAAAAAACGCTAATAACGCAAAAATTGTATAGTTAATTGTATAGTACAAAATTTAGGTAAAACATTTAAAAAAATTCTTTAAAAAACAAAAAAAGTTGCATAGTGTTATGGCACTCGATAATTAGATGTTTAGTTTATTATTGCGAAAGAAAATGTCCTGGCCAGAAAATTGTTCGTTAAGTAATTTTCTGGTTTTGTTCTCAGTGCCCTGGCGTCACAGATGTTCGCGGCAGCGCAACTATCATCACAACAGCAAGCAATGTACGTTATCCTTTTAATTAAAATTATTATGTTTTTAATTATCACCATTTTTATATTATTCTTCCCCCCTTTTGATTTTTTTACTATTTAATTTTCATCGCGCCAGGGCACTGGCATCATATCACCAAAATTTTAGTTTTGATAGTAAGTTTAGTATGCTAGTGTCCTGTGCCACAAACAAAGGCTTTTTATGTTTAACCCAAATATATGTAAAAAACTACAGGTACCTACCCAATTTTACAAAAAAAATTCCAGGACAATAATATTTTAAAATCCCCATAATTTTTTTTATTTCTTTACTAATTTTAATGAATTTAATTTAGGTTTGAAAAATTGGACATTACCCCAAAAAGTGCACAGAAAATTAAACCAGTCCTGGAAAGATGGATGAAGGAAGCTGAAGAAAGGTATTTAATTTTTTGACTAAATTTATAATAATATTAGTTTTAACAAAACAAAAAATCGATATTGTGAAAATTAACCATCCTGTGTGTCCCATACTAATATTTTTTTTTATATATTACATATCTCAAAGTTTAATTAATATTTGAAGTATAATTTAACAATTATAAAAGTATAAAAGGATAAAGTGTTATCAGATAACCCAAAAAAATTTTACAATTCTTTTTGCGCTCGAGTATGCAATTTTTATATTAATTAATTTAGAAAAAACTTTGAGTGCACTTTTTCAGCCATTTATAATAATCCATTTAAGTTTTAATTATTCCAGATACAAAAGCGGTCAAAATCACCTAACAGATTTCATAGGCATAGAGCCCTCAAAAAAGAGGAAACGAAGAACATCTTTCACTCCACAAGCTTTAGAGCTACTCAACGCTCATTTCGAAAGAAATACGCATCCTTCAGGTAAACAAACATTTTCACTTTTAGAAGGATTTTTAACAAAATATTCATTTTCAGGAACTGAAATTACAGGCCTTGCACATCAGTTGGGATACGAACGAGAAGTCATACGAATTTGGTTCTGCAATAAGCGGCAAGCTTTAAAAAATACCGTTAGAATGATGTCTAAGAGCATGGTATAAAAAACTGTGATTAAAACAGCAAACATTTTTACGTAGGTTTAGGGTACTAAGCTTTTATTCTGTGTAGTAGCTAGTAAAGTAATATTTTCTGGCCTAACGATTTCCCTTAATAACGCCCTTCCTGACGTAAATAAGTTGCTGTATTTTTGTAAATAGGGGTAAGACTTTGTAAATAAATTATGTATTATATTTAATAATTTCTAGGTAGCTATCAATAAGTGTAATTAATTTAAAATATTATCAAGAACATCGTCAAATTTAATAAAATACGTACTGTGTAAGGTGCAATACCCAAAACATCATATTTTTCTATTATTTTATGTATTGGCGATGTTTGGGGAAATATTTTCTGTATACGATTAAACTAAAATGTGTATAGAAAATTACATATCCTTTAGTGTATACGTCTTTTATGGGTTAAAAGTGTGAATTTGTGACCAAAAATGTGTATAAAAACAATCAATTTAAACTATGATACAAAAATTTTGGCAAATCGTTATTTATAATATTTATTTTTATTAATTTAAACGAAATTATAAAAAGTACAAATTACCACCAATCAATAAACAATAGTCGTTTATATGATTTTATTTAATTTTTTTATGTAAAATACTTTTTATCCCAGTCTATAAATGTTATTTTTATACTAAGTATTTATAAGCATTTTAAAAAATATATGATCTCAAAATGTTATACTCATAGGTGTCTAAAATATAATAAAATTATATAATATAATGCTATAAGCTTAATCATTTTATTTTTTTATTAAAATATAAGTACAGGGCCCGATTTAGCACGAGAGAAATTTGTTTATCAATGTTCGCGATTTAAATTTTGATAATATGGCACAAATAAAAAAATGTTCATCTACGAGAAATTGTCCTCAGGGCTTTAAAATTCTAATTCCGACCCTGTAGTCTCTTTTTACATTCCGTCATGCCCAACATCACATGATTTATCCTTAGCCTTAGTTTGACACCAAGTGTAATATTTTGTATTTTTTTTTTAAGTAAGAGATTTAAAAAATCTCCGAAAGTAACCAAAGTTCCTATTAGTGTTTAAGAAAATGTGAATGTATTGTATATAATTAGCGAGGCAATTGCGTTTAGCTTTAAGAAAAATAAAATTTTGTGTGTAGATTAATAATTTAATTGTGAAAAATACTATTAGTGATACCCGATGCAAAAACTTGTAATACTTGTATATAGTAACTATGTGGATGACAATTGTATTTGGTCGTTTGTAGATGTATACGGAATAAAAGAATTAATTGTGGTAAATTAAGGTTTTTATTTATTTACACCTCCAATTTCTAATTAAAAAATTTCACGCACAAAATATTAATTTTTTATATATTAACTAAAAATTTAAAAATATATGACATACCAGTAGTAAATATATAAAGATCGAATATTATACTGACCTCTTTATTTTGTTTGCCAAACTAAATATTTTAAATCGAGGAAGCATTAAACTGGGAAACGGCGCCACCTATGAATGATTATTGTAGTAATTATCCTTTTTAACAGGATCACTTTGTTTAAAGGTATTGTAATATAATCCTAGTAGTTAGTTTATCGTATGTTTAAAAGATGGGTCTCACACCTTACAAAGTTTTATATTTTGAGAATATACGCAAATATTATAAATATTCACAGATCACATATTACATATTTATATGTTATAACATTATGAAGGTAATAACGCACTAGTATCAATAAGACACTATAGTGTTTTATGATATTTAATTAAATCATATTTATTTATATGAATTTAAATTTACATTAATATTGAATTGGCAAAGATTCAACAATTCTCCAATTAATACTAGTTTCCTTAACAGCTCTTATTTCTGGTATAAGGGCAAATTTTCGTTAAATGTACATTTGCTGCCCCCAGCCAATTTTATTTTTATTTTTGACCTTTGTTAGTAAATTTTGTATTTATTATAGGTATTTAAATACCCCCTTTCTGTTAGGACCCATCGTATTTTTTTTTTAATTAGTTTGTGTTTCTATATATGGCAGAAAAACTAGGTGAAATGTCCTGTAACCTAACTGTGCCCAGAGGCGATTTTTTAATTTAAATTATTATATTTTTCTTCTTTGCAGCTCTCTTCTGAAAAAATAAATTATTTTGGAACAATGGAAAGTTCTTTTATTCGTATATAAAACTAAAATAGTTTTGTACAAAGTAGTTTAAACAGAAAAAAATATTAAAGTTGACATTCAAAAATCTTGTCTTTTTCCTAACGTCGTCTTCTATGCCGACTGCTTTGAAATAGAGACACGAGATAGAGATACTAGCGTTTTATTTCTAGAGGGCATCCAGTTTGATAGTTCGGCAACAAGTAAGCACACACTCTTAGAAAAGACCTGGTATTTGCAATGAAAATTTAGTTCCCAGAACCAATTTTATTAGTGAAAATAGGCACAACAAAAAAATATGTTGTGGGAACTAATACAAATTTGTTTTTACAGTTTGTTGTCGGAACAGCCAATATTGATAGCTCCAACCAACAAGTTTAAGTGCATCGAAGTTAGTTTTTTTTTCATACAAATAATTGATATTGTCACGAAATAAGAAAATATTATTTATTGATTTATTAATTTTACTTTATTTTAATATAATAATTATTTTCCCACATAAAAACAACAGGAAAGTTTCAGATTATTGCAGATTATTTGATTCTCAAATAGATTTACGTGGAAATTTATTGTGAGAAATGCAATCTTGCAATAATCAGCAAACATGTATTTCTTGTGTATATGACGTAGTGTTCTAGTTTTGTATATAAACCCATATTGCTTGTAATGTAAATTCATTCAGAAATAAAGCCGTTATAATGTAAGTTTGGCCTTTTAACCATACGTCACCCAACAGTCCCAATCATCGATGGTGGAGTCCCACTTCGTCACATGGTGGAGACCTCGTCGTCACATGGTGGAGACCACGTCGTCACATGGTGGAGGCGCCAACGATCTTGTACCATCACTATGAATAGAGAAAGTATCGGTACCCAGGATTGACCGAATACTCGCTGTATCTATTCATAGAAGACTTCCTGAATAGAGAAAGCATCGGTACCCAGGATTGACCGAATGCTCGCTGAATCTATTTGGGAACTCTAAGAAAAACAAGATCGGCGTTAGTTAAAATTAATGTCACGCAAGAAGCTTTTGGGAAAATTGACATTCAACCCATCACATCGCAGCACGGAAAAATCCATCTTCGAACCCTCCTCAACGTTACCACGATCACCGACTGGCACCGAACCGAAACAAACAAGATATTTCCTACGACCACCGAAAGAACCTATAATACCCGAAAAACAGACTGAAAACAGCGAAGAAAAATCAGAAGAAGAAATCCAAAACTCAACATTTAATATAGAAGACTCAGAAGACTTTAATAACCAAACTTTCAACGCAGAAGAAGAAAACAGCGAAGAAGAGGCAGATCCCGACGAAAATCAATCCGAAAAAGAAGAAGACGACAACGTAGAAGCCCGTATCCAAAACCTTTTAAGTCCTTTACAAAATCTTTCAATTTTAAGTCCTTCTGAAGATATATCCTTACCTTTTTCCCAAACATCTGAGATACAAGATAATCCTGAAGAAAATTTCCCTATCACCCAAACCGAACCACAAATCATCCACATGTCGAACACAACAATTTTAGAAGCATCCCAGACCGGAAGAACACCTGCAGTCCCGAAGTTTATTGCCCCCACAACATTCAACCCGACGATGACCAACGCCATGACCTTTATGAAAAACTACGAAAGATGTTCCCAAATTAACGGATGGAGCGACACATATAAAATTAATTATCTAGGATCATTTATGGAAGGAGCGGCCATTACATGGTATACAAAATACGTCACCAAACAAGAAAATAGAGAGAAAAATTGGGAAAATTTAAAAAAAGACTTTTTAGAAGAATTTGGAGGAGAAAATTTTATGAGAGCAGCAAAAATAAAATTTAATTCGAAAAAACAAGGCGAAAACGAAAACATCAAAAGCTATTTTTTTGAACTACAACACCTTGCCGAAGAAGTTAACCCTCAAATGGCTTTTGACACCTTCCGGGACCACTTCGAAAATGGCCTACACCCCTTGTACTACGAGTCCTATTACCTTATTGCCCCAACGACGATGGATATGGGAGAATTAAAGAAATTTGTTTTTAAACTAAGTGATATAAAGGAAAGAATTCTCTCGTTACAAATAAGTAACTTGACCTTCTTGTCGCAACACGAAACTTAAACACCTCAACAAAGAGTCAATAAACCAGAACAACGAAACCAGCAGTTTTACCCACAAACCCAAGTATAAAAAAAAAGAAGAAAGAAAAATACTACACCCCTTCCGTTTCAACCCTTGTACCCCCTATCCCTAATGCCAATTTGTATATACTTGTAAACTAATTTTTAAGTTAACTTTAAACCTATTTTATCCTGGCAACCCGAAGAAGCTGCCATTGAAATATCAGCAGGATCCTTTTGAAAGCCCTTACCAGAAGCCCTGTTCTATGAAGCTACGATACCCATAACGTATAGAAGAATGAAAAGAAGAAGTCGACTTTAATAAAGCTAAAATGGAAAAAAGAAAATGTATGTAAATAAAGAATAAAGAATATTGAAAATAAAAAAGAAGAAAAGAAATATTTTTTGGGGTACGGAAAAAGCTTGTGCTGCTGAGTCATGCTACTATGAAGAAAAACGGCATTCCAAGAAAAACATGGAAAATTACCAACCACGAAACTGAGGAAATAGAAGAAAACCTGAAAATTTGTCTCATCTTGCGGGCGAGATGTTCAAACTTGAAGTAATTCTTACTTAATCCTAAAAAAAAAAAATGCATGCGTGGTATTCCTCTTAATCAAGAGATACCCAGTAGTACTAGTTGCCACCCTACCTCGAGCAGATCTGCAAAAGAAGAAATAAGAAAAATGGAAAAAGTATAATTAAAAAATAAAATACCAAAAAATGCTGGAAACCCTGGAAATGGTTCCTCACAAGAAGGTATCCTGTACCACGTTTGTTGTGAAGATGACATCAACCTTCCAGATCAATTCCAGCTGACACTCGTCCGAGCTTACCCCAGGAATGACCAGGAGTAAGGGTTAGCAATTTCCAATGATGACAAAAGGGAGCCCAGCGCAACGAGTCGCTCATGCGTTCCATGTCCATCGCAGGAATAAAATTGTTGGCTAGGTCAGTAGTGTTAATATCAAATTACAAGCGCTTATTTAAGATAAAAACTATCTTGAAAAACAAATTGCAAGTTTAATTCAAACATTTAAAATAATAAAATAAAAATTTAACGTTATAGGGTATAAAGGGACGTAGGTCTTCACTAAAGTTATACAAAGAATTTTTTTTTTGTATAGTAATGCTTAATTTTAAATAATTTTTATATATTTAATATTTTTTGGCATAGGCGATAGGCAACTGTAAACTGTACATAGTTAGTTATTATTATTTTAGTTTAAGAATACTTACTAATTTTTGTTCCTTTTTATTTTCATGTGGAGTCCGACAAAATGTAATAGTACTAGACACTTCACCACTTCAACACCACACAAAAACCAACAATATTTCCAATAATTAAACACGGACATCAAGAATTCATCATGGCGGACTTGAAGATAAAACTAAGTGTCTAGGACTACGTCGGCAGTTTATTGCAAATCTAGAACATGGACGACAAAGCCCAGTGGCGTGCTTTCTAGGCGAGGGAGATGTCACGAAATAAGAAAATATTATTTATTGATTTATTAATTTTACTTTATTTTAATATAATAATTATTTTCCCACATAAAAACAACAGGAAAGTTTCAGATTATTGCAGATTATTTGATTCTCAAATAGATTTACGTGGAAATTTATTGTGAGAAATGCAATCTTGCAATAATCAGCAAACATGTATTTCTTGTGTATATGACGTAGTGTTCTAGTTTTGTATATAAACCCATATTGCTTGTAATGTAAATTCATTCAGAAATAAAGCCGTTATAATGTAAGTTTGGCCTTTTAACCATACGTCACCCAACAGTCCCAATCATCGATGGTGGAGTCCCACTTCGTCACATGGTGGAGACCTCGTCGTCACATGGTGGAGACCACGTCGTCACAATATTTAATGCAATCACATTAGTCTGTCATTTTAGCAGCGTCTAAGTTGTAACAACTGCACTTGCTATTTATCGCAACAAACATTGTATCATGCAGGAATTTATTTTTTAATTGAAATTACATGAAAAAAGGTACATTTAAAGAATTTAATAGTTGATATAATATAAATTTGTTTTGTACTGTAACTAAGTTATATTTAATATTAAATGCTTGCATTAGTAGCAACAACAAATTGGTATTATTCCACAGTACATACCTGCTTAGTAAATATAACACTTTTTGTGTAAATATTATAAAAAATAGAGAAAGGAAATTCATGCCCGTTCGTTTTATAAATATTTATTATAAATTAAAAAATAACAATATAACTGAAAACACCAAATTTTGGTTTAAACATTATAACAAAAATTAATAATTACTCTAAGAAAACATTTATAAATATTTTAACAATAAAACAAAAACGATTCTTTGGTAAATATACACAGATAGGTACATTAAGATGAAATTTGACTATACTTCTTCAGTAAACCGTGATGTTTACGTGAAGTGCAAGCCTTTGTTTAACAACTTAACAATGATTCTTAGGTACAACGTAACATACTTGCATGATAACAGGGGTAAGCATTCGATAAATTTTGAGTGTGAGTGCCTATAGCATAGGCCCTATACCAAAAATGCGACTTGAGCTGTAACAAAACAAAACAAAAAAATTCTCGAAATTCCGACGTGATGGAGACTTTTGGTGGGCACCATTGGATTCAGGAGGCCATTTTCAGTCGGAATGGCATTTTCACATTTTTGGATTTTTTTTCGGACCCCAAAACTACAATAGTGTAATTAAAGGAGTGCAATAATAATACCTAACTTTTAAAAACTGGAACCAATTCAGGTAAACCCCATGTTCCTAATAAATCTGCTACTTCAGTCCGCTCATCCATATTATTTGTTCGAGATATCTATAAGTAACCTACACATAAGAATTCTTATATATATGAATAGTTAAAAAGTATGTCGCCACTGAATTTACAGGGGCAAATGACTAATTGTAATAAACTAGTTTCTTACCTAAAATATACACTACACACGAGCTGATACACAAATACAAAAAAACAAACACCACCGAAGTCTGGACGCCGTGCAACACCGTTTGTTTACAGGTTAAAAGTAAAGCACGCGCCGGGCTGGACAAATCGCGCGCGAAATGCACAAAGTTTGCAGTTGCATTAACCTACAGAGACAACATCCCCAACTGACACTTTGTTTCACACCGCTGGTGTCTTAGCTGTGTGAAAAGTGACGCATAGTTTATACAACCGAACCGTTAGTTCCACGGACTAATTTCAGTCAGTTGAGAATGTTACTTAAATATTTGGTCCAACAAAAACATTTTACCGCCGAAATGATTTTTTTGAGATAATGTTGTCAATACTTCTAGCCAACACAAAGTTTCAGTTAAAATAACTTAATGGCCTTTTTGCAGTAAATAATACTCAACAACAAAACTAAATCTTTTCAGGTAATGATGCAAGCAGTTACACATATAAAGGTACTGATTACAAAAAACAAAAAAATTTATTTTCTGCAACAGTTTTACCCCAACGATAATAAGTTAGTTACAAATACCAGGTCTTTTCTAAGAGTGCATGTAAAGTGTGTGAATATTTTTTTGCGTACACTTTTTGGTGTCTTTTACAAAACGCTACATACAACTCTTGTTTTAGAAGTTACCTTTTTTATTTTCATTTTGTATTATTGCACAGTAGAAATGCCAAACAAATTCCGAAAGATATTTACATTTAACAGTATTTCTGAAAAATAACGTTTGAAAAAGTCAAAAGCAATGTGTCATAAAACGTTCAGGAAGATGCGTTAAGAGGAGGACAATGTTTTATTTTTTCCTTGTGTTCCTTCCCTATTTCAGATTAACCTTATAAGTTTTATTTCTTTAAAGCTTATTTTTGTTATTTATAAACTTTTTTTGCAGTCTTTTACACTGTTCTTTCACAAATAAAAAAAATCGATCAAATTGACCTGCCTGGACAAAATATATATACAAAATGTACATTTAACGAAAATTCTTCAATAGAGATTCGGTAAATTTTTGGTGATTTTGCTTTTATAGCTTGCTTTTATTGCTTTTATGAAATCTTGCATGACTACCGGCATAAAAGCAAAATCACCAAAAATTGACCGAATCTCTATTGAAGAACTCTCACCCACGATTTGTTGTGCACTCTGCTACTGTGGTCGACTTTTACCCCCTAGGCAATAATGTCGTCTATAATCGACTTATACTATGACCATTGTAAGATCTGCATCTGGAAAATGTAAGATAAAATCCACTTTTAATAGAGTTTTTGATAAAGTGTTGATACTAACAGGTTGTACAGTGCATAAAATCTTGCATGGCTTCCTTGACAGCAACTGCTTGGGCTTCTTTCTATAAGAAAATATAATTTTTTAACTTCTTCCAATTTTAAACTTTGGTGACTTGCTAGCTTAGCTTTTTGTGTTGACATAAAGTGTCTCGGATTATCACAATTTTGTGGTAGTGATCCGCATAATTAAACCCTCAGTGATATGTTAATTGCAAATAAAACGTTGTATTGGTTTTGTGGAATAACAAGCGATAAAACAATTTTAGAATTAAAAAACACTTATTTTTTATTTATTTATTTATTTATAATTACTTTGTACAAAAAATATATTAAAATATAGAGCTCTATTGCATAACTTAAAAAGATTCATAGAATCAAAATAATATTTTTACAGTTATTAGGTATTTTACAATTGGTTTATTTGTTATTGTCCTTTAAGTCCTTGAGATTGTTCAATATTAATATTCTTGATCCTTTCTAACATCACAGTCATTCAGCAACTTCTCCTGATTTGCTGCCTTTGACCAAGGTAAATTGTCCTTTATTATAAATTTCACCATCATCTTCATTCTTTTTGTGTTCCAAATATTCAATGGCAGTATAACCGCAAATCCCAATGATAAGAAGACCCAATAATAAATACAATTTAATATGAGTACAAATATACGGACTGTATGCATAGGTAATAACCGAACCAGTACTCTCCCACAGACGGAAGTTGCTGTAAGCTGCTTCCTCCTTACCAGGAAATAGGATTCCACTTAAAGCTGCAAAAAATATGTTTATACGATTTATAGCAATAATAAAATATATATTTACAATTTATTTGTACGAGCCACACAGCATCGCATATACCCCAAAGTCCGGAAATGATGAAAAATATCAGCTTTTCGTCGGGATTTGGTCGCCAAACAAGAAGGGTGACAATGAGAGCAACATGAAGGGACAAGGCGAAACATATCACCGGACTTCTTCCGGTTATTTTTACGATGCTTCCTGTAAAAATGGCAGCCAATCCGTTACAAACTCCGAAACAAATCATCACGAAGCCTATGTTGCTGATACCCCATCCGCAGGAGACGAAAGCCTAAAAAGTGATTAAAATTATATAATTATTTGTGGTATAGCTACTTTCACATGTACAAGTTGCTTAGTGTGCTTTTATATTTCAAGAGGAAATGTTCTAATAAGGAGATAAATTCCTCAAATAATTAGTTAATATTAAAGAATTGTAAAAATTAATTTAAATTTCCTCGCAGTTTCATATTAAAATTAAATCTTGTTATCAATATTGTTTAAATTCGTTGTTAAAGTTCAAATTCCTTTACAGTTAATGTATTTTATTTCATTTTCATTTTATCATTTATAAACTTGTCAAACTAAATGTTAGTTATTATGATGCAGCAAGTTTTTACTCTAACCTCGTAAATACTTCTAGTATTTATGTTATAGGAAACTATTTATCTTTGTTTACTTTGTTAAATGGTAATGTGCTCGCGTAACTTACGGAATTGTAATCGGCTGCTATAAAAGCTTGTTCGGCTCCAATAAACATGGTAATTGGTAAAATTAATAATTGATAGGGATTGGCCAGTTGTTTCATGGTTACAGCCAGCAGCTTAAATCCGGTAAGACCGCTTCCACTGCCCTTTCTGCCTTTACCGTATCTAAAACAAAAAATATAATTATTTTAGAATAAATACAAAATAAATAGTTTTTTCTACTTCCACCTTTAAAACGCCTATTATCGTACATGTTTCCATGACACTAAGTGATCTTTTAAATAGACATTAACAAGTTGTGTGGCTTTATGGCGTTTTAGTCACGGGCTTAAGTTAATTTTAAGTGCCCTTTTTGTAAATTAATAATATTTTATTATCTTTATACAAAATAAAAAGTATAAAATAGTTCCTCAACGCCAATACTTATTTGAAAAATTTATTTGCGAGTTTGTACTGACATTTTGATTTTGCCGGTAGTAAACCAGATTTAACTAAAAGAATAAAAAATAGGGTGAAGTGCCCATAAAACATTCTTTTCACTTTCACTGTGAAAAACTGCTTCTATATAATCATTTAAACGGTTGTTAGTCCATTTCAAGGTAATTTCGATGTACACATACAAATTTGACATTTTAAGTGGCACGCCGGTAATACAGATTTCCAAGTTAGATATTGTTACACGATTTACTCTATTTTTGTATAGATGTCGCTCTATATAATATTTAACCACATACTTTATGCGCATAGTCAGTTCATAAGTGGGGGATTTAAAATATATGAAAAAATTCATATCATAATAATCTTTTGGCTATGATACGATGATAGTGATCAAAATACTATGTTGCCAAATTCTTGCTTTTATAAAAATGCCATTATAAAATCTAAAAAATCATCATTTTGTGAGTTTATTATTGTTAAATGCTTTTTTCATAAAATTTATATCCAATTTATTAAAAAGTATTTATTATACTTTTTTTTTAAACCGGCAATTCAGCTGACGCATGCGCCTCAATGCCCGCTACCCTTTGAGAACATTTCCCCTACTTTAACCCCACGAAATAAAAACAGTCTCAGTTAGAAATGATTTGTATATGTGTGTAAGTATGTGCAGATTAAACATATACTTACCACACATATACAGATCATTTTGGATTCAGACTGTTTCCTTTTCGTGGGGTTAAAGTAGGGGCTTGCTACTTATGCAGTTTTGCACATACGTGGGGCCGTGTTGTCAGATGTAATTATATTCTAATATTATTTTCGTTATTATAAAGCTTAATAAAATATGTTATATCGCAAAATTTATAAAGAATTATATTAATTATGTTTTTAAGTATCAAAAATAAAAAGAAGTATTCTTTTTTTAATTTTTTAAAAATGTTTTTTAGCATTAGAAATTTTATTCCAAGGACTCTTGCCAAGGAGATTATAATCAAACATTTTGGTTTACTGTTTGGCTTTGTTTTTATTGTTTACTTTGTTTTGAACTTTTACGATTTTTTGACTTTTTTATTTCTATTTTGGAGTGCTTTACATAGATATTTACATAGATTGTACTCCTTAATTTAATTTTGAATAATTTTGTTCATTTAGAATTTTTTAGATTTAGATTAAGCTAGTGTTTTTCGTTTGTGACCAAGTTTTAAAATTGTTAAACATTTTCTATTTTATTTAAAATATTCGAAACATTTAAATTATTTTAATACTTTAAATATTCGGTTTAAAATTTGAATCGAATATAACCATTTGAATTAATTCAAGCAGCTTAAGCTGTTATTATGTTCTGTTAAGCAGCATCCACACCCTCAGTATTAGTAATCTCATGGACACTTAAACAATTATTACCAATACAATTTCAATCCCATACAATTATCTCATTCCCAATTCTTGACTAAAAATATAATAACTTTTACAGTAAAACATTTCGCATTTTAAAACAAGTTTTCTAAATTTTTTTCCTAAACTGACATTTGTATTTATTCATAACCAACAAACATTATTGATATTTAAATCTCCCACTTTTGAATTGCACGTGCGCAAAAGGTAGAGAGTAGCTAGCCTCCCCTTAAAAACGGGAACAAGGTCATCTATTCAAAATATAGGAAATAAGCGGTATATGTGTGGTAAGTACATGTATATGATATTTAATTTAATAAGTATTTGTTGTAAGAAAAGTTTAGTATGCCACTCGTTTATAAACTTTTTAAGACACTCATTTAATTAAGCACCCTCTCGCTAGCTCGTGACTAAATTAAATTCGTGACTATAATGGCATTTATCAAACTTGATACATAATATACTGATTATGTAAATTATATTAGATTATAGAGGCACCAAAAAAAACTTTTATATTTTCGTCAATAATACGGAGAATATAGCATGATCCTAAGAATACTCGTACTGGCCTATAGGCAGGTTCTTAGAAGGTGCAAAGTTTTAGTGGTAAAAATTAGTCTACTCTAAACATATGCTTAGAATGTTAAGAAAGTAATTGCTATATAGAAAGTTCATTTAGGAATATTCATGTTAATCATATTTAGTTCAGTTACCTATATAATAATAAAATATACCATAAACTACCTATAAAGGTATACTTATACCCATACTTAAGTACCTAATTAGTAATTAGTATTAAATACCAAGTAAAAAATACAATCCAAAATATTTTTTTTATAGTTATTTTTTAAATTAAAACAATATTCCATAACAAAAATACTTTTATTATTTTATGTTAAAAATAAATATTTATAATTTATATACCGATTTTTTATTTCTGAATAACAAATAATACTATTAAAAGTTTTGTAATTGATAACTATTATAATTTCGGTGACGGTGGAAGAAAGGGAAACCTTACCGTCCTCCATTTGTATGTAACATTTATTTATATACAATAAAGAATATTATTATTATTAATTAACATTTTTATGTATAATAATCCTAACTATTTTCGACTTCAATCTAATCTGACTTATCCCACAAAATTTTCCAATTTTACTTTTTATGAAATAATGTCATACAACTTATGTTTTAGAGGTCAAATTGTTTATTTAATATTTTTAAATAAATATATTAATATCGCAAAATTTTTTAAGGGGACGACAAATACATTTCACTGTCATATTATGACAGTGAGGCGTATTTGTCGTCTCCTGAAGAATTTTACGAATGTAGAATACAACATATTAGAACGTGGATATCTGGGAATATTCTTAAATGCTTCCTAGAAGCTCCATAAGAAACCTTCTAAGAACATTCCAAAAACGTATTCATAAAATGTTCTTGGGATGCTTTTTAAGAAAATTTTAAGAAGCTTTTAAGAATCTAATTGCATCATTAAAAGGGTATCTATTGAATGTAGTAGTATACATTCTTAGCAATAAGGGAATCTTCTAAGAATATTCCATTATTCCGGGTCATATCTTCTTAGAAGATTCTTAAAATCAAATTTTGCTATCGGGGTTAGTGACATGGAAACATGTACGACAAAAAATATTTGAGGTCTCATTCAAAAAATATTTAAGGGCCCCAACCATATTTTTTACAATAAAAATATTTAAAACTCGATAGCGGTTTTAAAATAAAAAGCCCGCAAACATATTATGTCCTGCAACAAAAATCGAGTGGTACAAAATAAGGATAACTATCGGGTAAATCGTATTACTGTACCTACTTCCTTTGATTTATAGAAATTTGGTTTAAAAAAGGGTATTAAAATTATTATTTGCTCCCAGATTTTCTCTCCTTGCTATCATGTCTGTTGGAGTTGTATTGTTAAATTAATAAATAAATAATAGCATTTTTTTAAGAATAAAATATTTTTAAATTACACTGTGCGACAAATTTTGACCTTACAATTTGAACTGGGATGAAATGTTGAAAAATCGAATCTATGCAACCCCCAAAACTAATCTTTAAAGGGGTTTTGCTAGTTTAGCTCGAATAATGAAGATATACAGGGTGTTTCTTTTAACTTGAGACAGCTCAATATCTCGAGAAATACGCATTTCACGGAAAAATGTCTTAAATAAAAGGTTAATGTGACCAAAGGGGACATTATTTGGTGCTACCGCTAGCCACCCCATACCCCTCCTTAAGGGTGAAACAGGGGGTAACTTTGGAAAGTCAAATGGAATGACCCGATTTTTTTCACAGAGTTTGGTAGTACAATGAATAACTTTTATTTGAAAGTTTTTTTCAATTTATCAACAGATGGCGCTGTAATTCAAAACCGGTACTTTTCGCCATTTAATGCACCGTCAATAAAGAAGGGTCCGATTAATCGTTCGCTTAAGGTACCGCACCAAACGTTTACCGACCAGGGACGCTGGTGCTCCACTTCGTGTCGAAATGGAATGACGACATTTCGAACATTTGTTATAAATTGTTTTCATAGCCGACTATTGTTGTTAATGTTAATTTTTGTTTTTCAAACGTTTCAAATAATACATTTTACAAGGAAACTCATTTTTCTTAAATTTTGAATTACAGCGCCATCTGTTAATAAATTGAAAAAAGTTTTAAATAAAAGTTATTTATTTTTTTATGTACTACCAAACTCTGTGAAAAAAATCGGGTCATTCCATTTGACTTTCCAAAGTTACCCCCCGTTTCACCCTTAAGGAGGGGTAGGGGGTGGCTAGCGGTAGCACCAAATAATGTCCCCTTTAGTCACATTAACCGTTTATTTAAGACATTTTTTCGTGAAATGCGTATTTCTCGAGATATTGAGCTGTCTCAAGTTAAAAGAAACACCCTGTATATCTCCATTATTCGAGCTAAACTGGTAAAACCCCTTAAAGGATTTGTTTTGGGGGTTGCCTAGATTAGATTTTTTCAGATTTGATCCCAGTTCATTTTTTGTGTTGCACAGTGTTATAAAAAGGTAAAAAAACCTTCTAAAAACTGTCCTAAACATCCTAAATATATTTTAAAATTCCGTAAAACTATCTAACCTTTTCATGGAGTCCACTCCAAAAACTATGATAAGAACAGCAACAATCATACATCCCAAATAAATGGCGGTGATCAAATTTAATTTGGTAGTGCTGGGTGCTGCTAAACTTGGAATTTCGGTATCATTGTTCACTGGAATAAGAGTCACGGGGCAAAAGTTGGCCCCACAAATATCACCAGGATCGGGTAACACTTTTGGTGAAGCAGGTGTAGTAGTAAAGATACTTGTGGCATTTAAAATGGTCTGGTTTACTGCAGAAATTGTAGATTCCTCCACGCCCGATGAAAGAACTGAAAAAGAAAATGCAAATACATAAATCCTGTGTATTATATTAAAAGCACGTACAATATTTTTGTAATAATGAACGGTTTTATATTTTTTAGACCAAAGTTTAACGTGTTCGTATATCATAATTTAAATGATTAAAAAAAATCCATTTCAATGTAAATATTTGCAACAATTATTAGCATTCTATTTATACATTTTAGCTTTATTAATGTCAACGATCCCTACAAAAGTTTTCGATTATCTTTTGGGCTGTAAACATAATTTATACCAATCAGGTGAATTTTTTTACATCCTAGTCTGTAAAAATCCCGTTAGATCACTTTATATATAAGGTATATAAGGTATACCTTTAATAATAATTATTAAAGGTATAAAGTGATGTTAGATAGCTTAGAGCTGTTATCGAATTATTTTATTGGTCCTAACGGGATTTTTACAATTATTGTTATTATAATTAAAAGTCCGCTTTATGTTTCGTTTATCAAATAAAACTGTGGCTTGTAGATAAAATGTTGTATGCCATTCGGCTAAGACGTGTCTTTTTGTGCCTCGCTTTAAGCTTAGTTCAAAAAGACTCACTTCTTAGCTAACTCTTAACTATTATTTTATATAATATATAATATATTTTTGTATATGATACATACTAGGGTGGGCCACAATTATACGAAAAAAACATTATTGAATCATGGATTTATTGTTTCAGTTTTTATTCGTTTTTTTTTCGAATTTAATTTGGACTTAACAAAAGTTGTCCTTGTGCTACAAACTTTTGGCTTTTCCGGATAATTTATTTAGGTGCCTAGTTAAGGTGACAATGTGAGAATTAAAAAAAATTAAAATTAAAAGTGAGAAATTTTGATTACCTGCAAGTATTAGGATTAACAACAAGATAATTTTTGTTCCAAAATTAATTAATCAATAAGTAGTCAGAATGTCGATGAGATCTGGTCCAACTAACTGGCTTCTCGGACAGCCAATTTCAATTTTTTCTACAGAACGACTTTCTTATAAATTACATTGTCTCCGAGTAGTTTAATTTTACCAATTTGAGGAGGGCAAGACTTTGCCAGTCAGTTAAAAATAGACGAGTGAAGCAGTTTGGACTATTTGGCAACGTTTGATTCGTATGTGAGTAAACGTTCAAAACTGTATAAAAGATATTTAGCTCCCAATGAGTACCGTACTCGTTAAAGTGAAAATAATACTGTGCGCTCTCTAAAAATGAAATAGTCAAAATTCTATTTGAATTAGTACCAGCATTTTTTACTAATAAAATAGTCGTTATCACTTTTAAATAGTTATTTTTTACTACGTAAATAGTTAATAAAGTTTGACTAATTTAAGATTAGTCACCATCTTTGACTATTTCTGAGAGTTAAAAGTAACTAATTTCTTTAATCGTTTGCGGCCAACAACAAAGTATTATTTGAATTAAATGCATATACCTAAGCTCCATGGTTAAATGACCCATAAAAACAAATAAAGATGCAAAAAGTTTAGCTCAAAACAGCAACACAAATAATATATTCAATTTTAAAATATTATGAATAATATTTATTGACAAATTGATTTTTATAAGAGCCGAAAAGGTTAGGACAACAGCTTGACAAGCTTGACAAGTGACAGACTTGAGTTTAATCCCCGGCTGTGTCAAAACTTTTTTTAAATTTAAATCTACTTATTTGACTATTATATTCAGTAGAATTTAACCAATTATTATTGACTGCTTTTTTGCTATGACAATTAATCAAATATTACTTATAATTAGTTATTTTTGACTAATTCATTTTAAGAGAGCGCGAGAATACATTCTGAAATGATCTGAAAGACTTGATTAATGTGGCTACGAAAGACGGTCTGACTAAAATAAATAACGTTAACGACAAGATTTTCCTTCGAAAGCAAAGAAAAGATTTTTTAAGTTGCATGAGTTGAACAAATAAAAAGATACAGCGGAAAGAAAACGAAACAATTTTAAAAATAAATGTGAAGAAGGGAAGAGTCTTTTTCTTAAAAATTTAGAAGTTGAGGTGTGAGTTTAGTTTATGTGAGATATTATTAATTTTTCTAATAAATGGTTTTCCAATTTAATTGATAAGGCGGCTATATTTGAAATAGTACAATTTGTGTTCGGTACACAATTAACCATGACAAAATACACGGTTCAACAACGTTTGGTTTAACCAAACTGGTTATTATCCAAAATATTAATAAAAATAATCGTTCTTTTGTTCAAATAACGTGATTTTCGTGAAAATTATGGTTCGCATAATTTACTTTCTGTGATTGAATTCGTGGAATCGTGAAAAAATTTGAACGTGATTTTACTCTGCGTGATAATAAAGTATCAATAAGACAATGAAATGCAAGAACCCATGAGAATATTGATGCTGTAAGAGCCAGTGTTACAGAAAATGCAAATCTGTTTATAATTAACGTTCTTAAGAACTCGACCTTTAAGAATGGCAACTTGGCGTATTTTGAGTACAGATTTACAGATCCGTATAAGATTGTGCTGACTTAAGAATTAAAGCCACTTGATCATCAAAAGCGCCGTGTTATTGCTAATTGGGCTCTAGAGCCACTTTAAATAAATCTTGATTTAAAAAAATCTTCTTTTCAAATGAAGCCCATTTTTGGTTGGACGGCTTTGTAAACAAGCAGATTTATCATTTTTGCTGTGAAAAAAATTTACAGGAAATCATCGGACCTTATTTTTTCCAAAATTACCAAGGAGATTCTGTTACATTTAACAATGACCGTTATCGATCTATGTTAACAGATTATTGTGTCCATAATTAAATAAAATTGATTTGGAAGACATGTGGTTTCAACAACACGCTGCCACATTGCTAACCAAACGATTAAAATATTGGCAGAAAAGTTTGACGAGTCAGTAATTTTAAGAATTTGACCTGTTCATTGGCCTCCACGAAGTTGTGATTTAACACCATTAGATTTTTTGTGGGGCTATGTTAAATCATTAGTGTATGCGAACAAACAATTCAGGACTTAAAGGGGAACATAGCGAGTGTAATTCGTAAGATTAATGGTAAATTATTGAATAAAGTAACCGAAAATTGGATTCATTGAATTTGCTTGTGCCAACGTAGTCGAGAGGACATTCAGCACATAATTGTCAAATTTTGTACATTAAAATAAAAATAAGTTTTGCCTTTATCTTAAATATTTTGTATTTTATTTAGTTTTAAAAACATATCGTTTAATTAAAAATTATGTGCTACTCATTTGGATGTCATGGAAAAAAAACTTGTGTTTGGATGTCATGGAAAAAAAAATTATTTTTTGGACCATCCCAAAAATGGGATGTTTATTTATAATCACAAGAATAACATTTTTAAAAGTAATTTAAATAAAATCCTATTTATTTTCAATCAGCTTTAAAAGTGTGTAGTTGTGTAGCAGCCAAAATTTTAAGCAGATTTTCCTTTTTCCAAGTTTTTATTACGCAATTCCTTTTAAGGTGTTCATAAATCACGTTTTTTAGTTGCTCTCATCATCTGGCACTGGGTCAACATTTTACGTCCCAAACACAAGTAAATTTCACCACCTTATTGTCTAACAGTTAAACGCAATCAGAATTTTGTTTACATTGCTTTTGATAAATGTGGCGCCAAATTTAAATATTTGTCATTGGCAGTCTAGTGCATACAGTAATTTTATTACAACTTTGGTTTTCGCATTATATTCGTTGATGCGTAGAATTTGCAATTCTAGCCAGACAAAGGGTATAGGTATGAGATATAGATATTTAATATTGAAATTTTTAACTTTAGTACATATAAGCTCATTTTAGTTAAGATTTCGTAAACGTTCACTTTATTAAATTTTTATTTATATTAAATTTAGCAAAGTTGATTTAAAAATATTTAGGAACCCTCTTATCCTTTGGCGTGCTGCCAAAGCTTCTAGAAAAGCCTTATAATTTTTGATTTAGCTTGAACACATGCACGCGAAATGAAAGCAAATGAGGCAAAAAATTTAAGTATTTCTGTACGCTCCGTTTCAATAAATATTCGGATATTTAGAATAAATTCCTTCTAATTTTGCTAAGCACAACATAATATTAAAGACTTATCCAATTTTTTAATCTCTAATAAACACAATAGCAAATAAAAACTAATGAAGTTAAAAGCTTGAAAATCTTTTGAAATGTTTTTTGTAGGTAATCCACGAACATGTCGTAAAGCTTTCATCAATATTGAATGGCTTCGGTTTTGGATTCTTTATGGCTGATGGACTCTCTTTCTATCGCTTATATTGGGATATCCTTTTAAAATGTCAACAAGTAGAAAGGAGTAAGTGTGCTATTTTATAGCATATCCAAGTTGATGAATAAAGCTTCCACGTGATAAATACCGGTTTCATGTTTAAATTGATATGAACGCTCCGAACCATATTATTTGTTTGTTAAAATTTTTATTATTTAAACATTTTAAAAGTTATTCTCATTTTTAGCACCTATAGGTAAATTGTTGTAAATATTTACTTGTTAAAATGAGGATTTAAAGAAATAAAATCTAGGAACTATTTAAAATTTTGCGGAATAAAGTAAAAAATTAATAAAGAAATATAATTTAATTAAAAAAATGGCAATCAACAAAAAAAATCGAAATTTTGTGGTGGAAATGAGAATTAAGTACAATCTTGGTTTTAAACATACTACCAAAATTATATTTAAAAACAAATAAAGCATTTGGAAATGGAACACCACATTCTTAAAACCAGGCTGAAGGGCCAAAAGAATCTGTTTCAAATTCGGGAAAATGGAGAGCGATACTGACAGTGTGTACTTTACATATATTTATTGATTTTAAGTAACTTTTATTTTTTGTTTATGAAAAATAAACTTTACGCTGCAGTGCACTGTTACAAAAATAGAATTTGTTAACATGAGTTTGTAGTTTTTTAATTTTATTTAGTAAAATTGTTACATACATTTTTATAGAAAACCAGGGTTTATAATTATTTTATTAAAGGA